TTCAATTGTACTGTCAATTTCTTTAAAATATTGAATTCACTTATAGTGAAATAGAATTTATATTTCCCATCGAAATTTTATAAAAGATATTCTGCTATATTATTTAATTTTGTTCATGTAACATTAACATTAACCCTTATAATTACTTTACAAAAATTCTTCACACCAATCAGAGATGCACTGGTAACAATCGCTTGATTGCTTTACATTCGCAGAACATACATCTTTCATCCATTCTAGGAATAATTCCCTGTTCTTTTTGAGAACCAAAAATTGTCCTAGTACTACATATGCCTATGTTTTTGATATAAAAACAGAAGTCATTAGTTTTGTGAAAATGTTATATATAATTATATACAGAATATGCAAATGTCTTATACCTTATCGTAACCTGCAGATTCTAATCTACGTCCCAATACTTCTCCTACTCCAGCAAGATCCGTAACAGGTTTATCACCCATTGGTTCTGCTACAAAATTGTTGTGTTTCTGCGATGTAGTAGACATGTCTGCTCTACAGTGGAAAAAATAAAGCTTGAGAATAATAAAGAAAATTGTATTAATAATTCTTACTACTATTAATCGCAAATAAATAATATTAAATATTACAAGAATGAAGTGCTATTTATACATTTTTGAGAATACTTGATAGAAGAATTAGAGACTCAAAATACAATGAAGTAACTTGAACGATTTAATGTAATTATAACATTTATTATTTTATTCTTCGGTACGTTGAAAAAGTAATCGTTCAAACACAACACAATCATACTACACATCAACACAATTTCATAGAAAACCATAGAGTGGAAACTCACGTTTCGTATCATTCACATAACGGTTCATTTCTATGGAAATGGTTGTAAGCATATTTTCTTACATTAAGATATAAATTGTTGAAATTTGTATTCAAAGAATATTAATATTTAGAAATAAAATATTGTTAAACAATTTGAGAGACAATTTACAATGAAAATATTCCATACATGCATGAAATTTTACTTAACCTATAAGAATAAAAATCAAATTTTTAATAAAAATGACATTACTTTCAGAAATGGTGTAAAATAAATACGTAAATGTTGAAAATATGTAGGTTTCAACATAAATAAATTTTCATAAAAATGATCTTTTTAGTTTTTCTTTGTAAAACAAAATATTGATAAATACATTTATTGTTATATTACATTAAACAATATTGTATAATTTAAAAATGCAGTTGTTGTATAACAAATTATGACACAATTGACACTATGCAGTACGTATGTAACTACATATTGACTTGCAAATTTTTTTAAAGACACACCGTAAAGTGTCGACATCATCGGTGTATTTGTAAGCAGAAAGCGTTTCATTTCTTGTCTATTCGTCTATGGAATCGGGTTATTGTCGGAAAGTATGAGACGGTCAATATGTGAAACATAAATAGAAATGCATATTGTGCTATAGTGTTTTAAATTTGATTTTTCTCCCTCTAAATAATTTTCGTTAAATTTCGGTTGATGTGGCCAGTTTTAAGAGTGTTTGGGAAAGTTGAATTTTTGATATATATTTCGCCCCAATCGCGGAAGAGCCGTCATGTTGTGTCAACGTAATCCACGGCAGCACTGACGCCTCTTCAGTAATTAACCAAACAAAATGGACACCAAGATAACGATTAAGTGAACATTTGTGCAGTAGATTTTCATGGAATGTCCAGGAAAATGGGATTAACGTGTACGCTACAGTGAGTTTTATTTAATCATTGCTAAAAGCTAAATATCTATAATAGATCGATACCACGTAAATTTCTACAAAACTATGCTGACTACTTTAATTTAACAATATTGGAACTTAATTTTGACACTTGAATCTACATTCGAGGTGTACAGTTCTATATTGTGTATACAAGTATAGCTGTAACTGTTACAATAACATTTTTCATTTAGATTCTTACTTAAATTTCACGTTATAATTTACACATCATAAATACTAGTATACCAACAGTTTCATTCACAAAGCAAAAATTTCCTTGCTTTTTATAAATCCATATATTTCAGCATCGAAAAGAATATATATTGTACTGAACAATGGACAAAAATAATCTTTGATTTCACAGATGTTTAAAAATTTATTTGAACAT